CTCTTCTCATGGCAGGGAAGACACTTTCCTTATAATCCAGTCTTGAACCTCTTTCTTTTCACTTTTCTCCACTGGCTTTCCTTCTCCCACCACACACTACTGAAGAGTATCACCTTATTGATAACTTGTAGGTACTGGGAGGCTGCTCTTGAGTGCTCCCTCACAAGCTGTCTTTGCTCCAAGCTGAACATACCTCAGTACCTCCGGTGCTCTAGCCCTCAGCCACTGCAGTGATCCAGTGCTCAACTCATTCTGGTTTTTTGATATCTTTCCTGGTGGATACTAAGCTTGCGCTGTAGTCTAGATACATTCTGAGGACTGGTAAATAGAAGGGAATCCTTCTATCAGTAGCAGAATCTCCTGGCTGTGTTTCTTCTTGTACCACCCAGGAGTCTGTTGTCCTTCCCTTGCTGTCAGGGTACAACACATTTGGCAAGAAGTCCAGAAAGAGCAACACAGCCAGCTCTGCCACAAGCCCAGGATCCCCAGGCATGTCCTCTTTCTCCATGAAGTAGTTGAGCTGGGGCAGAATTTGAAGATTTTAATGAACCTGCTGCAGCAACCTTTGCTGCCATACATCCAGAAGTTCCTTGCACCCCATCTGCAGCAGTTGTGTCTTCAATGTGTGCTGAGCAATTCTTCAGCCATGTTCAGTGACTAAGCATCAGACTTGGTGTATATGGTTCACAGCTCCAGTGTACTACTAACACTTCAGAAGAACTATATAGCAGCAAACCTGTGCAACAAATAAACATATATTTATCTCATGAGCACCCCAAAAGAAATACAGTAACTACAGATGTTAGCAAAATGATCTGTATGGAAAGAGTAAGGATGGCCTGCTTGTCAAAATTCTGATGTGTAGTAAATATTGTGGTATCCACAACTGTCTTTTAAGTAATTGATTATCATCAAGAGTGGAGAGGTTGATGTCTTTTTCATCAACTCTAGCATGCAAGTTATTACACAGTGCTGAGTGGTCACATCCCCACTGGGAACCAACATCTTGCAAAATTGCTCATTATTCTCTTGAGCATGAAAAACCTCAGCCAGAAGAGATTAATCAGCCTTGCACACCTGGCTTCACACAGTTTGCTTCTTTTCAGTTATGAGTGCTTTGTGCAATGATTTAATACTCTAGTAATGTTTCACTGAGAAGACACATCATAGATTCCTTGTTCTTATTTCCCCTGTCCAGCTTCTTACTCATCTACTGATACCTATGTCTGATGTATATTCCATGGGGGAGACAGTAATTGTTACTAGCCCTGGTTCATAAATCATGTACATTGTGAAATTAAAACAAACAGAGGAAAGAACTGTAAAACTCAGTCACCTCACTCTTACATGCAGGGAGAAGTTGTTCTGTCATTTAGTGTAGATGATGGTAGCACAGTTCCCAACAGCATGCCCAGAGCCCATGGATTTGGGCAAGGACCCACTTCTTCAGCATAGTCACTGATCAGACCACACATTAAAACTTGCAATACCGAGGTCTCCATTACTGGTGTCAGTGAAGATACACCATTACATTTCCCAGCAAACTGTACTCATTCTCCTTTTAACCATTTTATTTAAACAAAGTAGAATTCTCCTGCAGGTGGAGGACAGACAAGCAGATTTAATGCCTCTGGTCATTTCTAAGAGTCTGTTTTGGTATTAGGACCATATTCAGACAAGCTCAAGAACCTGGGTATAACGCAGCCTGAATAAGGACATTAAAAATAATGGGCACAATTTTTGGCAGGTGTCCAGCGGAGTCACCCAGCATTGGTACCATTGAAAACATGTTGATGTGAAGCATTTGTTTAAATTTAAGTGGAAACTGAAGGTCCATACCTTTCTTGCGCAGAGTCAAACCAAAGTGTGTGCATCTGATTCATGATAGAATGAATATGTGGCTACTCAGGATAATTAAGCTAGACTTGTGCTCCTGTACAATTCCAGAGCTGCAGTGCCTGTGCCACAACTCTACTGCATGAATACTTGCATGAGAAAAGAAATTTTCACTGTATTTAGAAGAAAGAAGGAAGGATTCCTGTTTGCTTTATACCTTAACTATATTGCTCTGATCTTCAGGATCACAAAAAGCAGAAAACCCAAGTGATACTTCCAGTTATTCTTTTGTCAAAAGACAGAGATGCCTGCAGTTGGGATCTTTTTGAATTCACCGTTAAGGAGGGCTGCCACAGAGTAATGGGGCATCCAGGCACAGGCACTGTCAGGTGCAGACTTTAATTGACATACTGCAGAAAAGCATCTTAAACCAACCTGTATTTGTCAAAATGGAAGTGCAGATCTTAGTGCAGTCTTTGTAATTCAGGACAAGCTCTAGAAGTAAAATTGCCTGGAGCATAAATTTGTGAAAAAACCCACTTTTTTTTACTACAAACCCAATAGGAGTTTTATTCTCAGGGCTCTATACAATTTACTCCTTACTCTTTCTGTTATTTACCTTTAATTGAAGAGTGTGTTCTTTTATGCAGGATACACAGAGGAAATGTATGCAAATAACATATTTGTAAGAAAAACAAGGTGACTTGAAGACCTTTGTGTGCTTGAATAGAAAATCCTGAATGTGGTTTGGTTTTTTTTTTCTTTTACTGCTTTGGCAAACCCATGAGTTAAATTTCAGCCTTCGTAGAGCCATCAGAAGAGACAACATGTTAAGTGGATTTAATATTACATTGAAAGGCAAAAGACTTGCATTCTACTCTCTATAGCCCTTCCACTCTGCAATGTGGAAAGGCCACTTTTTCTCCATACCCCTACATCATGGTGTAACCCCAGCCAGCAGCCAAGCCCCACTTAGCCCCTCACTCACTCCCCCACCAGTGGGGTCAGGGAGAGAATCAGAAGGGTAAAAGTATTAGGACCATATTCAGACAAGCTGAGAAAATGAATGAGTTGAGATAAAGACAGTTCAATAGGGAAAGCAAAAGCCATGCACACAAGCAAAGTGAAACAAGGAATGTGTTCACTGCTTCCCATGGGCAGCCAGGTGTTCAGCCATCTCCAGGAGGGCAGGGCCCCATCACATGTACTGGCTACTTGGGAAGACAAACACCACCCCTCCAAACATCCCCCCCGTTCCTCCTTCTTACCTTCACTCTACATGCTGAGCATGATATCATATGGTCTGTAATATTCCTTTGGTCACTTAGGATTGCCTGTCCTGGCTTGCCATGCATCCCAGGTTTCCCTCCACTGTGTTGCAGTTCAAAAGGCAGAAAAGGCTTTGGCTCTGTGCAAGCCCTGCTCAGCAATAACAAAAACATCTCTATATTATCAACTCAAACTTTGTTCAGCACAAATACAATACAGCCCTATACCAGACACTGTGAAGAAAATTAACTCTATCCCCTCCAAAACCAGCACGCAGCATTTCATCTTTGCACTCCCTTGAACCCCTCTGTGTAGCAGCCTATAAACACTCTGGAGAAGGGGGAAGGCTTACACTGTCAATGTGTTGTCCCTGGAATAGCAAAACCACTAATATCACGTGGATGCTGTGGAAGATGTGACTAGCACTAAAGTAACTCAAGAGACATATCTGAACTTAGCTCATGGTCTTTTTTCACCTTACAATCCATAATAATTTTCAAAAAGTGTTACTGCTTGCTAGTCCTAATATCAAACTTGTGTACCCTGGCTATTAGATATGAATAGAAGTCCAGGCAATACCCAGAACAAGCCAGGAAGAAGGAAAGAATGAAGGGAATGGGGGGAAGGATAGTTTAAATCCAAAAGAAACAGTTTGTATAGTCTGGAAAAGGACTATGGAAATCTGATAGCGTTCAGAATAGTGATGAACTTTGGAGAGCAGCATCTAACTCCCAAGCTTCTTCAGGTCAAAAGATTCTGGCCCTGCAATTCTCTTACCATGTTGTAGCAAGAGTGGACAGAAGCAGCAAGAGACCAAAGGTCATGCAAGCCTCACCCACAGAGCTACAGTGCGGAGACAAATATGTGCAGTATTTAAGGCTGTAAAGGGCCTGGCCTTCCTCCTAGATACAAACTTAGAGTTGTTGCTCACAGTGTATATATTTTCTCTTTCTTTCACTCTTAGCATGGTTTGTGACCATTTCCCCCATCCATCTTGGCAACTACTAGCCCTCATGTTACTTCTTTTCCCTTCTGAAAATATTTCACAATGCAACTCCAAAAATCTCCATTCTGCAGTTGAGTTCTGGAAGAGAGGTTTGCTTGTGGAAGTCTCACTGATTTCTCATTGAAGTCAGTGAAGTCTTTTCCTGTCTGATCAACTATGGGTTTCAGTGAATATTTTAAATAGAGTTTAAAAGGTAAAATTCAGTGCTTGAGTCCAGAGAAAAATGTCTGCCACTTCTGTAAAAGAATGTATTAGTCCTAACAACCTAGTGCCCTTTAACTTTTCTCCTCGTGTACCCTCCATTTTTCCAAACCCATCCTGTTTAGTATTCAAACCTTATTTCTTTTTTCTTTTGCCCTATAATGTAATTTTTTACACCAGATGTTTTGCACATGTCAAAGCTGTAAGACGTGTGACTTGTAGTAATTGTACTGCGGTGGCTGAGATGGATCAGAAATCCCTGAGTTTTTGCTCTGCCAGTGATGGTGGTGAGTCATCCTGTAACTTCAGACACTGAATTGCTCTCATCCTAATTGCTCTCCCCCTATTTGTGTGCCTGTTGAGTGGAAGAAGTTGCATCTACCTCACAGGGCTATTTTGGAGGATTAGGGCTTTAAAGTATGCCACAAGCCTTGTTAAGTATTGCTTAATGTGTTTATTAGGGGCATGCACAGCCCTGGGATGTTTTTTTGTGAGACTCAGGAGTGCTGCAAAACAACAGTGTTTTTTCTGGGACCATGCTGAGCATACAATAGGAGTTGTCTGTCACAACAGGTGTGCACTCTCCTATGTTGAGTGGCAACCTCTGTACCTGCTCACCCAGGCAGATACTCTCATCTCCTTCTTACTGACATGAAAATTAAACCTGTGCTTTCTTTCTTTCTTTTAGATCCTGGCGCTCCTGTGAAACTGCCTTGTATGCCAGTTAAACTGTCACCTCCACTACCTCCAAAGAAAGTCATGATTTGCATGCCTTTAGGGGGGCCAGACCTCTCTCTCTCATCCTATTCCACGCAGAAGAGCTCCCAGCAGCCTTTGACCCAGCAGCATCACACTGTCCTGCCATCCCAGTTAGCAGCTCACCAGCACCAGCTCCAGTACGGCAGCCACAGCCAGCACCTTCCTTCTGGGTCCAGCACGTTGCCCATTCACCCTTCAGGGTGCCGGATGATCGAGGAACTGAACAAAACACTAGCCATGACCATGCACAGGCTAGAAAGGTAATGGACCAACATTTTTAGCATTCCATAGTGCTCTGGACTGATTCCTGCTAACCCAGCATTGAAGGCATCGCTTGAGTTACATTTGTAGGACTTGAATGAAGTGTCTCCTCTGGGGTCTAACAGCTTCAGGGTAGAGTCATTTCTGGAGAAACAGAGGCAGAGGAAGAGCCTTTCCAGACTTGTTAGACAAGTTTGTGGCTGAAAGGAAATAAAGACTAAATTTCCTGAACACCATTGTCCCATTCAAGGAAGTAGATATTACAGCCAATGGAGATTTTAATAGGACATGCCTGGCTTGCAGTAGGTACTGCTGAGGCATAACTGCAGAGCTCCAGTTGTGTGGAGGATTACTAAATACAAGGAGAGGAGGATTCATAAAAGAGCAATTAGAATCTAGTGTGCCACTTCCAGCAGGGCGTCTGATTAGTATTACCAATTAGCTCAAAACAATCTATGTGGACTTCCTACAAGTTACTTAGAGGGGTTTTAATACAGTATTTAGATTACTTAAATTAATTTAAATTAAATCATGTGTTTGATCTTAAAGTAAGTATTTAACTCATTCCACAGCAGCTACCTTCTTGGCCATTTGCATCTGGCAAGAGGTAGAACATTTGATCAGAAATGCCTTACCCACCTTGGGGCTGTTTTTTGTTATTGTCACTTATGAGTATCTCTGAATGTTTCTCCAAGTAGTCTGAGTAAGTGAAGCATGTTGTATAAATGCAAGCTGCCCTCATAGACTGCAACATCAGCAAGCTTTGGAAAATGTATTTCACCTTGCAGAGCAAAACTGAAAAAGTCCCAGAACAGGGAAGATGGATGAAAAATCACATGTTTTATTTAGTACCAAAGACAGCTTTGTAGCCACCTTGTTCTAGGAGCATCAGATCATCTTGTTATACAGGAAGGCAAAATATTTGATCTAACAGACAAAATGCTTAATGATTTACCCCAGTATTTCTGTCTGATAACTGATAACTACCTTCATTATATTCCATAGTTGGAAACAACTGGATTATTGATGGCACTTTCTCCTTACTCCCTGAAAAAGAGTCAGGAGACCAGAGGCTGTCTCACACTGCCAGCTTATTTTAGTAGCAGAATAGTGACACATCTGTGATTACATCATGGGGCTAATAGTTCTACAGTATGGGGGAGTTCTCAGCTGGGAACAAACTACTAGGGCTATGAAGAAGATTCTTATTCCTGTCTGTGAAACAGCCGTAGAGGTAGGATAGAAAAAGTATCCACATTGTCTCCTACTGCCATACCCAGTGATTACCCGTTTACCTCTCACATTGCCAGCATGGCTGGTCTGGTGCCTCTCCACCATCCCAAAATTCAATGCACCAAGCACAGTGCATAGCTGGTGTCTCCTAAAGGCTCCTTTGGGGCTGCACTGCCTATGCTGTCCCCAGCTTAGGTTGGACATCTTAATGTCTGGCTCACACTGTGTGCAGAAGGCCCTTTGTTATCCTGAGCCCAGTGACATCTCTCAGAGTATGACTTCACTGTGGCATCTGTTGCCCCACAGCAATGAATGCTCCAGTTTCTAGTCATCCATCATGTTTATGTCTACAAATACGCTTAACTGATTTAAAGATGGTGATGCTGTTTGGGTTTAACTATTAATTTGAAGCTGAAGCTCTGCTGCTTGTTAAAAACTGAATAAGCAAGCAATCATGTCCCAGTGTGAAGCAATTGCTTCCCTTTGCAATTAATAAGAAGAAAACAAGAAAAGGTTGGGTACTGATATTTCACATTTAAAATGAATATAAATCCTTGTTCAGGATATTGCAGGCAGATTTTTCATAGCCTTTTTATGTTGATTAACTGTTAGTTAAACCATAGATTAATGTATTGAGTACTTTGTTTGTGCTCCTTGTCAAAGCAAATCAATAACTTCTGCATTCACAAGGGAGAAAATAGGTCATGATCATTTCCTCTGCAACAGCAATTGTTATTTTTATAGTATATAGAGGTAAAAATATTTCAAACCATTTACAGTTCTGTGGAGCTGATCTTGCTCTTAAATTCTTTATTTGTTTTTTCCAAGCCAAACTGTGATCTAGATAAACTTGCTGAGTTTTCTTGAAGATTTGTGCAGATTTTTTAAATATATTTATTTAACTTGGGAGACAATTATTTGCACTGAATGCCCCTGTTTTCTACTATTTTTGATACCACTTACTTTCCCTTATTGTAAAAATCTGCATTAAACTCCAGAGAAATAATACCTCAGTATTTGTCATTGCACACTTCAGCCCAAAATTCTTGAGGGCTTGTTAAAACTCCAAAGATCCTAGATCTCTTTCCTCTGTTTGGAGCTTGGTAGTGTGCTCACATCTGTAGCCTGCAAAGGATATGGAGTGACATCCTGCACTTTGCTGTTCCTTGCAAGTTAGCAAAGTACTGGGCCACTACTGTTGGGTCAATAAACCTGAGGAGATGAGAGAGCCTGCTAAGTCTCTGAGGCAGCTTCTGGTGAATAATAAGGGGCTTTTCCTTCTGATCTCAGACATTATCTCAAAAGCATCCTACAACTTTACAGAAGAATTGCCATGGTGCTGCAGTAATAATGCTGCCAAGTCTGGTAATTTGGGGGATTTTTTAGAATAGTGTTTTGATTTTAATAAGAGATGATCATATAGACAAGCACAGATCAGCTTTCAGCTCTAATTTTTTTTCTTTTCCTTCCGGAATTTTTCTTTTTCTTCCTTGTATCTAGTTTCTTTGGTCCTGGTGCAGCGGAAGCTCCTCAAGGTCATTGAAGCTATAATGATATTTGGTGAATCAGTTTGTATCAAATTCACATCTTGTCCAGTAAATTTTTCTTATACCTTACAACTCTCCTATTCACCAGGTGGCTGAGTGTGGACATGAACAAAAAATGAAAGGCTAAAACCTTCCCTTCCTCTAGCAATCTGGACTCTTTGCTTACACAGATAAGATCTCTGGAATTCAGGTAGTCTAACAACATCTGAAGAATGATAGTTGAAATCAGTGCTTTGCCAATGAGCCACAGGCTTGCCAGAGAAAAATGAGCTTTCCCTCTGTACAGACCTGGAAGCCAGATTTTTCTGTCTTTGACCTTGAGAAAGTTACTGAGTCTCTCTATCTCTATTTTCCCCTCTGCAGGAGTGATTGCATGTAACTACCTCACCTAGATCTAGTGCATATTAATAAGTTAATGTCTTAAAGTACATTAAAAGGCATGCAATAGCTATTCAAGTCCCAGTTGTTCCTATGACTTAAAATGGGAGCTAATTCCTGGATTTTTTTATTAAATTTTATTACAGACATTATAGAACATTAAGTTCATTTGTGCACTTAACGCTTTTGATTGCAAACATTTTCTGGTACTCATAATGTCTATTCATAACCTATTCTCAGAAGGGCAATCTGCCCCTTGTCATAGTATGACTATTATGACATGTCATTTGTGCTGCCAGTTTGCCTCTATTTTCTCTGATAAATTACCAGTTTTATGGTAGATAAAGTTGAAACAGAGATATGTGTAATTTCCATGTAACCTTTTTTCTGCAACCTTTGTTGCTAATTTGTGTCTTACTGCAAATGACTTTCCCCTTCCGTCCGAAGGGTGTTTGTCAAGCATAAGTAAAAACTCTAGATTTGGACATCATTTTTTACCATTGCATTGTAGGAGTTGATGAAAATCTGGTAAGCCCTGCCACCAAAATATGCAGATTTCACCCTCCTAACCAAAATGAATTTGAGAAGAAAGATCATGCCTCAAAGCTGTGCATCACGAACAGTGGCTGAGGAAGCCTTAGAGACTCTCTTGTGACACCGAAATGTGTCTTTAATTTTGACTTAGTGAGGCAGTTTCTTCATCTGAAACAGCCTGATTTTCTGCCTTGCCTGTATAATTCTCAGCCTGTCTGGAAAGGTGACAATTAATTTCATTTACTCTGTGGGCTCGTGTACAGGAGCAGGCACAGATGAATCCAGGGCTCAGTTTGTTCAATGTTTGTACTAAAGAGCTGTTAAGTGGCATTATCTCACTCCAGGCTAGAATTGCCTCTGTGGCAGAGCAGTGAAAAATCACTGTGTCCAAAAAGACTGTGTGTGCCACCAGTTCCTCTGGGACACCCAGCTCAGCCTCAGACTGTAGATTTATGAAATGAAATGCATTAGACATTACCACCAGTGTCTTGTAAATCTTACGAAACATATTTGAGTCAGAAAACATTTATCTTCCATAAAACTTGTCAAGAGAATTGCATCTTGTCTAAACTTTAGCATTGCCTAAGGATAGAAATACTTAATATTTATAGCTCTGCCTTCTCTCTGACACACATTCCTGTAGTAGAAACGTATATACAGTGGTTTGAAGTTCTTTCAGACCTTTTGTTTTAACTGCTAAGTACATAAAAGTACTGTGGATCTGAAAACATTCTGATAAAAATGTAATCTTCTATTCCAAAATCAAAGGGCCTGGCATGACAGACAAGAAGTGTGCAGGTTTTTCCCAGTAGATTTTACAGGAAGTATTTCACTTTTTTCTTTCTTAATTTTTTTTCTGTACCATGAATCACTCATATGCTTAAATTGTGATTCTTCATTGAAGTATTTTCTCACAAAAACCATTGTAATCTATAGTGGTGTGACTTTGTTTTCTGTTTTGATCATGTACAGATGATGCAGCAGTTATTGCAAGTTCTTGTACTAGGGAGCTATGAATTGTTCACATCCATGCGTTAAGATCTTCTTAAAACAAGTACTTGCTTAACTGTAGGTTTTTTCTCTGGTTTTGTTGCAAAACAAAAAACTGGTTTAAAATGGGCTTTTTGAAACAATAGTGTGCTTTTTGGTGAATAAAGCTAAAAAACTTTGTCGTTTAGTCACCTGACAATGTGGGAGTTTTGCTAATGACCCAGAGTCATTTATACACAATGGACATATCCTGTGACCTTGATTTGTCTTTTTTAAGTATACTGCAGTACTGCATGTATTTCATAAGCACTTTGCTTAGACAGCTGACTTAGGCAAATTGCTGTGGAAAGGGCTGATTTTAATCAAGAACAACACAAAACACTAGGAAAAATGAGGGGCTTAAAATAGAAAGTAGTATTATCAAGAAAGTGGATGATTCAGAAAGCTTACAATGAGATGAGAAGCTGCCTATTTCTAGATCACTAGTTCAAATAAAAATCCTCTGTGGTAACTTGTAAATCTTGTTGCCATCCTATATCTGCTCAATAACCTAAATTGATGGATCACTTTGATATCTGCTACCCATAAGGGGACACACCCATAAGGATGCATCTGTAAGCTACATCCATCCTTCACAGAACAGGGAAGCACCAAATAATCCTGGATGCTGAATTGCTTCTTGCTCCTTTCATTTCTACTTACTCTCTGTGTATCTATTGTTTTAAAATTAAATTAATGATCCAGTGGTTGCATGGTGCAATTGGAAGGTTTTGGGTGTTCTTTTAGCAATGTTAACAGAATTTCACAATATTATGGTTTTTCTCAGAAATTTGATTCTAGGCTTTTGAATTTCCTTCCTTTCCTCTTTAAAAGACTTACTCAAAAATTAGCTTACAGAGAAAATAGATTTAATGAAGTTCATAATATAAAACTTCTAAAAGCATTTCAGTAAATTAAAAGTTAGTTCAAACTTTTTAAAGATTGTAGTGTGTTGATATGTCACTATGAGAATTCAGTTGATGGATTCTAAAACTGCATTTGGGATAAAGTTTTTTTTGTGTCAAAATCATTGAAGTCCGATACAAAAATTTGCAAGCCAGTTCTTCATGAAGCTCTCTTTGTGATACAAAACATGGGCTATCACGAAGAAAATTGAGTTTCTCTCTTCAAGGAATCTAGTAAAGCTTTGTATCTCATTATTGGTTAGTCTGCAATAATATACGTTGGAATTAAAAAAAAATTATTTCTTTGAAGCTGAAGATGATGATAATAGCTTGTTGGTATGGTTTGTTCGCAGGATCTGAAGCCTTTTCTTCTCTTTAATCCCTAAGCATATTTGGAGTAGCATTATATCCCTAGAACTACATTTTTAAAAGACTCTCTGGAATGTTATCTAGAAGCCATTTAAGAGTCCATTCTAACTTTTGGGTTAGAAGAAAGCAAAATGTTTCAAGTTGAAGATAGTAGATTCACTAGATTTCTGTAGAAAGTCTTTTAAAGAGAAGAATACATTTTATTCAAGATGCAGAACACCTGTGGTATTCAGGCTAAAATATTCAAGGGAATTGATGGCACTCAATACTTGTCAGATCCAAGTCGGTGTGCCTCAAGGTCAACTTGGCCAGAACATCTGCTTTCACACCTATGTTCTTCTGAAAAGTAAGAAGAACAGTAAAAGTAAGATGGGAGTTTGACATAGAGAGGGTGTCCCACAGGCAAATGTTGCCCATTTTTCATAGAGCTGTTGCATCAGCCAGGACTTCAGAGAGAGGGCAGTTTCTGCTGTCTCACAATTAATCCTGAGCTGCCACCATTTTTGCCTGCCCGTCTTTCATTCCGATTTCATACTGGAAAAGCAGCATGAGCTATTTCAATAAAAACTGATTGGGTTTCCCAACTTCTGTTCCTGACTTTTCTTTTCACTTTTTGTTTGACTTTGATCTTCACCTCCTCATGTTCCTGTTTCCCTACTTGATATGTTATTTGGTAAAGGGGTTTGAATTCAACACATAAACAGGGCTAGATAGTAGCAGTCCTCACCACGGGTCTTCATCTCATAAGATACTGAAAATAATCAATCCCTCCTGTGACAAATGAAATATGATGTTAGCACCAATTCTGACTGATCTTCAGCACCTGGCTGGATAAAAAGCTGAGGCAGGAAAAGAGATATCATCATGTCCACCCCCCAGTATATAACTGTGCCATTAGCAAACAAACTCCCCAGGTTTTAGCTTCTTCCCTGGTTACTCTCACCTGCTCCCAAAGTCTCTTTTCTCTAAGCCCAGTTTCACAGGCTTGCTCCCCTGCACATCAGAGAGTTGTGCGCTTGCCATCCCCTCAAGTTACTCATCACTAGTGCAAGCCACTAGTTTTCCCTCTGCCTTTCTACAATTTTCCCCTACAGTCCATCCTTCCTTCCTCCCACTCTTACTCCACCTGTTGCACTCAGGTGAGACATTTTTCTCCTTGCTGCCTGCACACCAGTGGAAAGGTCACACAGACACCGGGCTGAAGGCGTGCTTACCACTGAGTAGCTGCTGCTTACCACTCTGAGTAGCTGGTCCCTAAGAATTTGTCTCAGATCTTTAGTGCTTCGTCCTGGATGACAGTATTTCTGCTTGCATGCTATCCTAACTCTCCCTTTTAAGTATTATACCCTAAATCTAATAAGTACTCAGTTTAAACCCTTTAGATGTCTTGCTGATCTTGAAAATCTTTCTGTTCTCATTTCTTCTCAGAAAGGGATGAAACACCACAACTTTGCTATATACAGTGAGAGAAGCAACTCTGGCCTTCATTGAGCTGTTTCCTTTAGTTTATTTATTTGCTTTTCTTTCCCAACAGCTCTGGTTTACACACAAGTGACAGTGTTACAAAAGCAGGACCTTCAGGCCTTCCAGACATGAGACAAGTGCCAACTGTTGTGATCGAATGCGATGACAATAAAGAAAATGTGCCTCATGAAACTGACTATGAAGATTCTTCCTGCCTTTATCCAAGGCAGGAAGAGGAAGAAGAGGAAGATGAAGAGGAGGATAACTCATTATTTACAAGTAAGACTCATTCCATTTTTCCTTTCTCACTTATTTAATTTGTATCTTGAGCTCACAATACACAGAGGAAACACAAGGCCTGTGTATTTTCTTTCTTGGGTGTGGCTTTTTAATCTCTCAGGGCTTGACTACATGGAGATGCTAATCCAAAATAACAAACAGTATGAATTTATAGTGATTTCACTAATATTCATGAATCCCTGTCTCGTTAGTGCTCAGATTAAACTCAAATGACAGGTTTGGGCTTATTTGGTTCAATTACAAATTGGCTTTTGGATTCACTTTCCCAAATGCCCTTTGTGAAGAGAAGCCCTGCTTTTGGCTTAAATCAAGATCATCTCAATAGTTGCTTCAGAAGGATGAAATAAGTGCCACACATAGAGAATCACAGCTTTTATATACAGTCAATAGTAAATCATTTTGGAATCATATATGTGCACATGTTTTGAAAGGGGTCACAATCAGAGGATTGGGCTCAGATAAGACGTTAATTGATAACCATATGTCCTGGTTTAGGGCAATTTTGGGAGAAAAACCTCTAAAGGAGTTTCCTCTAGAAAATACAAGTGGCCCCTCCCCCAGCAAACTCCACGCCTCTTCTCTCCCCCCTTTGCTCTCAGAACAAGTCTTAAAGGTGCAAAACTTATTATCCAGTTAAACAGAACAGATGATTGGGGATACAAGCATCACATAGCCAACCCAGGACACCAGGACACAATTACAGACTGCGAAAGGACCTTGTGGCCTTCCTGACCTCTGTAAGGAAATTCAATTCCTGCCTCAGTGTGCCATCGTAGGACTGTCCCATGAAGAAAAGATACAGTGCTTCATGTGTGACAACTGCTTGTCATCTTAGACATTGAAGTTCCAGGCCCTTGCCTTTCTTTTCTTCTGAAAACTGGAAGCAGTACAGTCAAACAACATCCCTTTTAAAACACACAGAAATAAGATTCTAAAACAGGCATATTTCATCTCCTCATCACCCCACCTTACCCTGTAGGTGAAATTAAGCAGTGTTTGCTCTTATACCAAAAGCAGAACAGAACTGCACTATCTCACACTCTCCTGACAAACTCTCATGTGTTTGTGTCTCTCTGTGTCTGTCTTCCTTGCTCAAACTGCTTTGGACACAAGCCTAAGAAAGCAAATTTGAGCTATTGGTTTTTAATGTCTTTGCCACTGCCCTGGAAGCAGTTAGTTCATATGCATAGAGATTTCTGCTGCTTCTGATTGACTTCTGATTCCTTCTAATGCTGGCTTGGATGTCTTGATATTACATTGCAAGAGACATTCAGATAACCCTTTCTTTTCACATGCTATAGCTCTGTTGCCTGCCCAGATTCTGAGGTTGAATTTTTCATTCCATTATTTGGAAATACTGTGCTAGGGAAAGCTACAGATGCTACTAGCAATTCTGAAACAAGCCCTTCTTCTCCATTCCCCTCTATGGAGCAATATATTAATTTCTATTTCCTCTATACCTACCAATTTCAGCTTTTCCTTATTATGATAGGAATTGAGGTTAATTGAGCACATGAAGTTAATGACACCCCTTTTCCCGTAGTCCAACCAGTATAAAGGAGAGCCTCATATCCTCCCTTGGCTAGTACTTCTTTGCCAGGTGCATGCTGTAATGAAATGATGACACCTCTTTTGGCAGAACCTCTCCTCTCTCCCACAGGCCCCCTGGCAAGGAAACTCTGCAGGAAGGACTCTTTAGCAATCAAACTAAGCAACAGGCCTTCCAAGCGAGAGCTAGAGGAAAAGAACATTCTCCCCATGCAGACTGATGAAGAGAGGCTTGAACTTAGGCAGCAGATTGGGACAAAGCTAACAAGGTAAGAGACAAACATTTTTTAACTGTTGCTTTTGGAAATATGTGGTGGCATGTAGTTTTTTTCCTTAGTCTTTAAACATTTGAGATCTGTTTGGTTACAATGTTCAAGAGGAAAAGCCATGGAGAGAAAAGATATGGTTCTATACGTTATTTCTGGTCCAATAAAGCTTCCCATATAACTCCCTATTTCATTTTCCTGGCATATGCTATGGGAACTCTGGTTAAATATCAGCATGAGCTATGTGAATTTGGCTCTTGTTGGCACATCACTGGAAAATGTTCAGCTTTGGTTACATTTCAGACTGTAGCTGTAGGTGCCTTTTTATATGCTATTAGTTTGGCCAAAGGTCACAGGTATAACTTTCTCTTTTGACAGCATCACCTGTAAGTAGCTGAGACCTTTCCCGGTGCAAAATAGTTTAAGTCCTTCAGTACTTGCCTTCATTGGGTCAGGTTGGACAGATTTACCCTGTCTAGACACTTTCTTCTTCATAACAGGGTTACTCACCAGCTGCTCTGGTTTTCTGTATTGAATAGGGTGTAAAGGGGTGGCCATTAAATGTGGAGGATTTCCGACAAGAATTACTAAACTGAGGTCAGACAGAACTGTCTGAGAACCTTCTATGTGCATGCCATGATTTCTGTAGTCAGTTGAATCCTCTTACATTGTTAGCTTGGTAGTATGCAGAGCTGGTGAATGCTGTTAGTTGCTCTCCAATGAGGAAACCACAAGGAAATGACCAACCAGTTATTAGGAATTTTCTTGCACGTTTTAATTTTTTTATTTTGGGGGTGGGTGGATAAGGTGAAAACACTGCTACCATGTTGTAGAGACAGGAAGAATAGGAGCTCCAGGTAAATACCACTTTCAGCATTTTATTTACTTTTCTTTCATGGCCTTGTTTATCACCTTCTTGGAATAAAGTAACCACACCTTTCCAAACTGTCTTTGAAAGTTTTTATGCTGGATCATGTTCAGCCTACTCCAAAACCTGTTTAATTTTTCAGTATCTTGTTAAGGGGCTTCTGCAAACTTGCCCAAAATATGTAAGATGATGCTGCACTGTTGCTGGTACGGTGATTTTTCAGTTCAGTCTTTATTCAGCTTTATTCCAACCTTATTAGACTGCAGCTGCACTGAGCTCTGGGTCCCAAAGAACAGCACAGGATAGCAAGGTCCCAGTGCTTATATGGTTAAATTTGAACCCTTTTGAAGCATCTGAAGAATTTAAATGTTTGTCTCTCACTGCTTGACCTTGCAATGACATTGAACAGCGTTTCCACTATCTTGCCCTTTTGCCTAAATTACTTAGGTCTTTCTGAAGTTTTCCAGCTATGGCTGATGAAGGAAAGTAGTGTCATTTATAAACACTGATTCTGCACAGCTCACTGTGCACCAGATCTTTTTCTTTATAAGTATTTTATTTTTCACCTATCCAAAACCTGCTTTTTTCCTCACTAAACAGTATTTTTTCAGCAAATGCCTTTTTAACAAGGGAAACTATTTTTGGCTGTATGCAAAGCCCTTCCTGTGTGAGCCCCATATTCTCATAATGTTGTTTTTTTGTTTCCCCAATTGTATCTCTGCTAATCTGAGTTTAATAGTTTGAGCTAAAATGCCTGATCTTGTCTTCTAATATAGCTAGGACTTAGGGGCAATCACAAATAGTTCAAATAACTAAAACTGTATAATATATGAGTTTAAAAATAGCTGAGCTGAATGAAATTGCTGTTTCATTCCTGCTTTATATCAGTGGAACATCACTGAAAATGGTAGAATTTCACAAGCCTTAACTAGAGTGATATAGTTGCCAGTCTGACCTTTTAATTACTACTATTTACAACTTAGTATCTCATCCTTTTGAGTAGTTGAAAACAATAAAGAGATATGAGGAGAAAACTATTTTGCTCATATCTAATATGTAAGAAGCCACAGGCATTTCAGCAGCAAAAAGTGCTTGTCTTACCAGTGCTCTGTATATAAAAGTGATATATCCATGTGCATAAACTAATGAATATGAGATTAAAATAGAGAGAATATTTCAATTTGGACAGTATTTCCTTACTGTCCAGGCTTTATTACTGAATCCATCCTTTGCTGTTGCTTGGTAATTGTCACACAGTGATGCAAATGTCAAGCAAAATTAAAGTAGTGAAGCATTTATAGTCCTTAGAGAAGATGCTAGATGCAGACTATAATTGCAGCTGGCAATTTTGGATTTCAGAGGGATTTGTACTGCTCCACCAATGGTCCCCTAGGGTTTAAAATATCCAGCCAATCAAATCACATATGCTACTTACAGAAGTAAAAAATGCAGAATAAAAACTTCAGCATATAGTTATTGTCTGTAATGGATCAATTAATTTTCACCAAGAGGCTGATTAGGATACTTCAGTATTTATGCATAATCCTCACAGTATTTAGTTTGGAAGAGCTCATTGGCTGCCACATTTGGCAGATAAGAATTTAGTACTATAAAGAGAATGTCTTTTTCAAAGATGCCTCTATCCAGGCATATTGAGATTGGCCACTGACATATTGTGTGGGACCAAAATCATCCCAGGTGCAGTTCCTCCAGCCTTATTAGAGTTGCACTGGGAATCAGTTTGGCTCAGAAAGGTCTGCTCAGATCCTGTTTAAGTCTAGCTTGGAACCTCTGAACCTCCTGTTATTCCCAGAAAATTGTTATGACTTCAGTGTTACATCAGCCAACTGGAAGAGAGACTCCAGAGCAGAATTCACTGTTTCCCATGCTGGGAGAATAGTGCCTTGACTTACACCAGGCCAGCTGTAAGGGTGTGGCTGCAGGGACTGTATCTTATAGCAGGACCTGCCCACTACACACCTCGGTGTTCTCTAAGCCATGAGAGAAATTCTTTGTGCTTGTCATAAAACACTTCACATAAATGTTGTGCTTCCCTGGTCTTTACCCTGTATCGTGGCTCAGCACATGCAGACCCCAGCAAAAATAGAGCTTCTTGCCCAAGGTGGCAAAATATGTCGTAGCAAAGGCAGGAGATTCTACATCGTATGAATTCCAGCCACATGAACAGGCCAGTGCACCGTAAATCATTTCTGAGGAGTCCTGACATAGTAATTATGGCAATTGATTACAGCAATTAATTAGAAGACCTCTTCCTCTAACCAAACCAGAATGGATTGCTCCAAAATGTGACATCTCCTATGAAACAAGGAGCAAAAATAGTGAATTAAGATGCAAAACTCTCAGCTCAAAACCACATGTGGCATGAGGGTAGGAAATGGGTGCTGGAGACCATGTTCTTGGCTGCTAAAAACCCTTACACCTCCATTATATTCTACTCTGAAATGCAAACCTTCTGTGCTGAGTAAATCTTTAAGTGAGTATGGTGTTCCTTTTTTTTTTTTTCAACTTCTCCTCTATTTTATCCCTCTGGTGCCTGTGCAGCTTCACAGCTGCTCAAGTGTGCATGTGTGACTGTAAGACAGAAAGGAGAACACAGGAGGAAAAACAGCACTCTGAAAGTTAACAGGGAGAGGGAAGGAAAAGACAGACATCTCTGTTCTGCCTGTCTCACTGGCTGTGTTGGACCTGCTGGGAAGCACAGGCTCCCTGTTATTCCAGTTAAAGAAGCAGCCAGGAAGATTTGGATTTAGCTTTCAGTGGCTGTCAGGGTGAGAGGAATGGGATATATCCAGGCTGTGACAGTGAGCTTGGAGGTTTTCCTGGGGCAATGGTAAAGGCCTGTCAGAAAGCCCTGGTGAAAAGGAGGGCCAGCACTGTTGGGTGATGGACAGTAGAACTGCACATCTCCCAGAGACTGCAGGAATATCCCATTGTTCTGAGGCAGGTGCTTCAGTGCTAGTCCTTGCACTTCTCTTTCACCACAGAATCATAATGGTGGTCATAAGAGACCCCACAGACTTTCTCAATCAACACATTTTGTAAACACAAGAGCCCTTTACAGGGCTCCTGTCACAGCATCTCTGTAATCTCTGTTACAAACACCAGACTTTGCACTTTCTTGGAATGGGAAGACCTGGTTTCTTCGTGTTTCTTTCACAAAATCTTCCCCCATACTCTGAGAAAATGTGTGTCTTCAGACCGACTGATCTGCCACACATCCTACAAGGGAGGCTTTCTAAAGCATTCAAGTATTTTTTAGTCTCATAACCCACCAACTCTGGAGAAGGTGCTCACTAGCAATTAGATACAGGAGTATTAAAGCTGAGATTTTAGTCCACTGCTTTTCAAGAACATGGTGTATTTATTTGTTTCCCCTGATTGTTTCCATCCTGGCTTCTCCCACCTGCTGGAATTGGATGATCTAATAGCACAAAATGTCTGGTAATCCAATGTGCTATCATCACGTTGTTAATAATCAGTGTCAAGGGAACTTCTGGGTATTCACAGTATTATTACTGGTCAGCATAATGTCAGTCTGATCAGCACACTCCTACCCACTGTCTGCAGATCTGGAGGCAAAGGAGACACACAAAGGCTGTTCACTGACAGTGGTGCTTGTCAGGGGACTGCTGCCCTTCACTGGAAGGTGCCACAGGCACACCAGTAAGATTTTGCAATCCAATAAGAGTTTGTGCTGTGCTGCTGCCAAAAGCTGTTAGTTGTAGGGGTCATATTTATCATGCCCCGTGTGAAAGCAGAGAGATGAGGTGGGGGAGCAGCTTTCTGCACATTAGCTAATTAGTAAAATGAGAAACAAATGAAGAAGAAAGTAACAAACTACCTATTGCCTCTTTCCTGACTTTGAGAGATGCTCTTCCATTTGCTTGACTAAATCCTGGGTGTGTCAGTATATATATGTTCTGCTGGCTTTAAAGCTTTAAAGTTCCTCTGCCAGATACACAGTAGTGCTCTGCATTGTTTTTTGTGTAGCCCTAGATTTATTCACTACAATACCTTAAGGGGTACTGTCCTTACACCAGCAAGTGGAAAATCGTGATCTGAAGCAATATAAATAGCATATTGCAAGGATCATGAGGCAGTAGATCACAGAGAC